TTACTTTAGTTTTGATGCAAAAACGCATGATTGCACCGGCTCGCCTGGTGCGTTCCAGCCTTTGTTCCTCTATGAAATCGTGCAGCCCGTTTTCGCCGCTAACAATTTTCCTACAGTCGTCATCTTTGGGCCCTCCAAATCCTCCGTGTCTGAACTGATTCCATGGATCTAGAAACGAAGGGCTGGTAGTCACGAATCAAAGTAACCGAAGCGAATGAAAATGAAAGGTTCGAGTCCTCGTCGGATCGCATCTGTCGCGAATGCGAGGAAACAATGCTAATCGATTATGGCAGCATATTCGACGCCCAGTGAGATGAGCGGGAATGCGCTTTAGGGATATCAACAAGGGGTTCATCGCCGGGATATCAGCAAGGGATTCAACCTTTACCATTCGGAAGAAACGGTCTGAGGAGCGGCGGCGTATCACAACAGCAGCGGATTCGGAAGAAACGGTTCGAAGAAGCGGACTTCGCAGCAGCGGCGGACTTTGGAAATGGAGCAGCGGTATTTGGCAACAGCAGCGGTATTTTGAAGTGTTCGACTCAGAGATAAATCTATAGTCGATAATTTAGCCGCAAGCTATTTAGAGTACAGCATCGTTTGTAAAAAAGGGATTAGGCCATTTGTGCCTGGACTTCCTGGGAAATTCGGCGACGTTCTGGAAAATTCGGCGCCACACAACATGATGTACATTTGATTCACATCTAGTCTACAATTGAAATTTCACAATAAAACGCTAAACGAAGAAGGTCGTGAATTATGTAATGCTTCAGAACTGAACTGTGACTGAAACTTACCAGTTGACATTTCTCTCTCGCAGAAAACAAGTTGTTTAGTCATAGCCCGTTGCTGGAAGTTTTGTTATTAAGTGCTTTTTTCGAACGCTCTTCAAAGGTAACTTCTAATGCTGAGACGTCGATCCCTTCAGCTGAAGCATGACATACTTCATGGCCTTCCTCAGTTTAAAATTTTATGTGAAAGACTAACTGTAGATTAGACGTGGATCAGACGATAAATCAAACTGTGCGACATCGGCGAACTTTCGAAAAAAACGTCGAACATCCCAGGAACATTAAAATGTCACCGATTTCTGTACTAAATTGCTCAACAAACTTCCAAGACTGTGTGAATTTTGGAAAATCAGACTCGTAACTTTGGGAAAAAGAACTGAGCTATTCAAGCTGCAGTATAAAGCGAGTACGGTTTAATTCATGCAGTGTGGCCAATGCCTTGTAAAATAGCAGAAGCACAGACTGCGTTCGAGTCCGACCTCATGTTCCTCTTCCAGTCAATGTGGCTTTGGCCTATTAGTGAATTTTTTTTTTTTTATTGTCGCTGATTTTTTGAGTGCTCCTCAAAGATAACTTGTTACACTTGCGACGTCGAAACTTGCAGCTAAAGCTTCAAACAATTCAGCTCCTTCTTCAGTTTAGGAAGTTTGGTGTGAAGGATCAACTGTAAATTAAATGTGGATCAAGTGGAGATGAAATTAAGATACTGCTAATGTCATGCAACGCCGAACATTCCAGGACGTCGTCGATAGTTTCCAGAAGTTTTGAGCAAGGATGACGCTGATTTCAGGAATGAATTGCTAACTGGAACCCATCAGCTAATGGTTTAAGCCTGGAAGTGGCGTTAGTCCCGATTCGCGGATTGGTTGTCTTGAGATAAGAAAAGATCCTGAGATATCCCAACAAGCGCTGAAAGGACGTGAACGTGTTGTGACTCAATTCCAAGCCATAGGCTATCCCCTCGGCTTATTGCGTCTTGTTCATCCTGCAGATTTCTGTACACTCGGCTCTAGGCATTTCCGTTCCAATGCTAATTTTTCAAATAAAAATTTATTTTCCAGTTTTTCTAATACAGAAAGAATGCCGAAAGACAAGAGAGATATTATCACACAGAGTATGTTGCCGCCACACTTCATGCATATCGGGAACCTAGGAGATGCAGCGCGGCAATACCCACACAATTTACAAATCTTCCCACTGAAATATTCTTAAATTTACATAAAATTTCCTAATCGGTAAAGTACCTCCAATGTGGTCCAAGAAAGGCAACAATTGAGAAGAGATGCTGATGCTCAGCACACACCAAGGGCATCATGAAACAGCTTAAGTGCTTCGGTTGTAGAACCATTGAGTTGGTAATCCCTTTAAGGGTTGTCAGAGGGTTGTTGCAAAGCGAAGAAAATAATATGATCCAATTGTATTTTCTTTTATTTCAGCAAATAATGTTTCACGAAAACGTATTTGGCAAAAAAACGTTTCGGTAAAAAATATTTCTTCTCTTCCTTTCTGTGGTTTATATGATCTTAGGGCTAAAATTCTTTTACGTATTACTAAAAGAAAATCCTATGAGCAGTGAAATTAAAGAATGAGTCAAAATTTATCATACAGTAACAGCAAAAATGAAAACCCTTATCGTATTCAATTTTTGTTAGAGGCAGAGGAACCCGAAATTAGTCTCCTAGTAAGTCCACTATGCCAAAAGCAATCGCCCACTAGTAAAGGCTGTCGATGTCTTCCTCTTTCGAAGGTTTTTTTAAAGCAAGCTGGTGGCAGTTTTGATTCCTTGATATGTGCTTCGAAAGGGATTCTCTCTCCCTGCCCCTCCCCCCTTTTAGAAAGAGAGCAACACGACTTACCACTAGACCGTGTCTTCAGTGAAAAAAAGCCCCATCTTCGCCAAAAAAAAAAAAAAAAA